TGTTAACATGACAAATAAACGAAAATCAAGCTATTTTTCTGTTTCTCTTGAATATACGGACAAAAAATAAAATAAAAATATAAAGGTATACAATACAGCAAAATATTTTTTTTTCCATTCTAACTTGCACATGCAAAGTATGTCTTACGATATCTGTTCATTGTTTCAACTTTTTCTTCTGCTTTTTACAAATCTTCTCTTTCATATTGGTATCTCGAATCCAAATCCTAGTTCAACCGATGATTACGTTCCATTTGAAAATGTTGGCTCAACATTTTTAGTATTTTCTGTACCTAAAATTGGTCAACTTCTTACATGGTTCTCTACGTTATATCAAGCTTTATATCTATTTCTTCAAGTCTTTTCACCAGCTTCAATTTCAACGTTATTTCCACAAATAACAACGTCTATTAATCTCTTGCCTCTTACATATATTTCAATACTTGGATATGTCTTTATGATTATCGGCGGCTGTGGAAGAATTTGGTGCTACAAGATATTAGGAACATATTTTACCTTTGAAATAACAATTCGTAATAATCATAAGCTAATCAAAAGTGGTCCATATGCTTATGTACGTCATCCATCGTACACGTTTGTTTGTATCTTATCGTTGGGAATGTTTTTTATACATCAACGATTGGTAAATTTTTTTCCGAATAGTACATGGATACAGATTCAGTTTGGTCCTATAGGATTTTTAATGCTTTGTTTGCTAACGATATGGTCTATCAAAAGACGTGTCACACGTGAAGAAGAAGAATTAGCAAAAAAATTTGGTAAAGAGTGGACTGATTATGTATCAAAAACTAATAAATTTATACCAAATATTATCTAATGCACATGCATCGATCTACATAATTCAAGGTCGAAATATGCATATTATGAACAGCATTGTTCGTTCTTTCATTTTCTTTTTCCGTATATGACACTTTAAAGTATTTTTATTTTATTCGCTTTTCTATAATTTAATAAAATCAATTACAACTTATTTCGAGTCGATGATAAACATTTTTAAAGAATTCTGTTTAATTATTTAACGACGTGAAGTCTCATAATTTAAAAATCTTGAGAAGGACTTGATCTTTTTGACAGAATTCTATTTGTAACAAACGACATGAAAATTCAATCTTATACATATTACTGTCAATATAGGAGTAGGTGAGAATTTTGTTCATGTTTTCTGATATGATTTATTGAAGACAAACTATATGGAAAGATGGGCTATTTTGTATTCATTAAAGGATTATATTTTTGAGGAAAGAAAATCGGTCTTTGTACATTTGCTTTTGCAATTCTAAAGAATTATTCAAAAGCTTTGGGTTCTATTACAGTGAAATCGTTCGCATTGATAGGCATTTAAAATTTGAGCAGTACATGGAGAGTTTGGATCGAGATATTCGATTTTTAAGATACTTACAGCTTTAGTATGAGAATTTAATAATATGAGAACTATTCACATTCATGTTTTTACAATTATCAAGTTTGGTGTTTAAGGAGACCAAGTAATCAAGAAAAAGTATGATGAATAATATACTAAAAAGCTTCTATGGATTCATGTTTTTTTACGATTCCTACTAAGAAATCACAATTAAGTATGTATTAAAAGTAACATTATTCTTTTTTTTTCTCTATCACAGTTATCATCTCAAACCGAAGTGACTGCAGTTAGTTCATGATGTAATGTTACACTAACACTGATTGCATTGCTAAATTGAATGATTCGTTCATGAGAAGATCTTCTTCGTCGTACACAAAATCAGGTGTTCCAAAAACTGCATCAATGCTCGGTCGATACCTTGTCGTCAATACGCTGGATGCACACAAAGCATCGAAATCCGGTTCATAGAATGAATGCTTAAGGGCAACATAGCTACACGACAGAATACTGATCTTGGCTGATTGCTACTTGGTTCAATATGTTTTTCGTTGGCACGTATATCTTTATGCAGCATCATATTTGTTGCATAATTATATAGTATGCGACAAGATGAGAAAACACAGCAGAACGTCTTCTGTGCACAGGAAATCAATATAACAAAAGATTACATCATGAGATAACAGATGAATATTAATGGATGTTTTAAAAACAATGGTGTATTTTTTTTATTGTGAGCTTTTCTTCATCTCATCAGCAGCGTCAATCGCCCAGAAATTGGAAATTCAGCAACAATTAAGCTGACATTCGAGAAAGTCAACATATTCAATAATGAGGATGACTCGAAACACTGGAACACACAACCCCATTAGGCACCACATTTACACTTACACTCACATCCACATCTTGTTAGTTCATCAAAAGTTTTTTTTTCTGTGCTTACTAGAATTTAGCGTTCAGTTTTCAGGTAGCTTAGTTTGTACGTCTATGACATAACTTGCAATCATCTACAAGAAACGAAATCGACTGTGTATGTGTCATTAATCCGCATTGTTTCTTTTATTGAAACAGTTGCTTTTCAATCATTTCATCATTTTAGATGTTTCTCATACACAAAAGTACATGCATTTCTTTTAGAAACACTTGAAAACTCACACTGAAAAAATTCCTTTGTTTGAATGCGTACGAACATTTGCAATATTCCAATTGAATCAACTATTTATGCTTAGAGGTGGCTAAAGTTGAACTGAAAAATGTCATACCCATACGACCAGTGCAATCATTTTTCATAACATGTCACATGGTATTGACTTTTATTTGCAACTCACTAATAAAAGCCATCAATGAGAAGTTGATCTTTCCCTCTAGTAATTTGAGTTACCACAGATGAATAAGTGACATAAATAACGAGGAATCTATTTATTTCTATCAATCCAATTCATTTGTCGATTGAGACTGATGAACTAGAAATTCTTCAAACAAATTTATTTGTCCTATTAATGATGATTCATTGGAGTCGTAAATTTCGATTCTACTATTAATACAAACTATTACCTAAATAGAACCAACATAATTGAATATAATTTTTATTGGAATGGTCCTTTTGACATATGTACCTTTTATTTAAGTATGAAAGCAAATTGTTCTATTGTGAAGTCAGCAGAATATATGGACAGAACACTTCAAATGGACAAAATCTAGTTGAATAGACTTATTTTAGTGGTAGTTAATAATGTTATGAATTCGAAAGTGTTGCCAACAAATTTCAAAATTTGATGAATTGTCTCGTAGTAATTATGATTTTTAAAGTGATATATGTAGCAGGTCATATCTGTCTGTGCTATCGTTTAGAAAAAATTGCTAGAAAATGAAAATCATAGTTGAATGGAGACTTCGTTTTTTTTTGTAACGATTGATTTTTGACGTGATCTTCAGAAATGTAGAAATTTAACACATTAGTATCAACATAATAATCATAGTTGAACACCATTCTATGACTGATTACTATTGTATCTAATTATCTTTCAGATGATCTGGAAAATTATGAAAGTCGACTTTCTTTTCAAAGGAAACTCATCGTAATAATAGAATAAAATCCTTATGATTTTGGCTGTACTCTGATGTGGATGTGAGTGAAGATAGTACCTGCATCCACACCAAAGACCCCATACTACGTTACTGTTACTTTAATGATAACATTGGTATATCCTGAACGTTTCATCATATATAATGTTTCTTTCATACAAATGATGAGACTTATCAGAAAATTTATTTGGTGATCGATCAAACAACAAGAAAACTACAGCTGTTTTATTCAACTGAGTTTGATATAATGTAATAAATTAATCTGTTTATGATTGAAGTAAAGAAAAGTAACCGTTTTTATTATAGTGAAAGTAATGCTTTTTTACTTCTCTCAATCACCTCATTACTAAAACAAAGAAAAAGACAGTAATTTCTTAGAACAGAAACTGATCTAAAACTTCTGTAATTTATCAATGAACAAGGAAAAATAGTAATATCGTGTCTGATGTTGACCTATAATAAAAAAACTCACTTGGTGCTATTCTACGAAAAAAAAATTAGCAGTTCTAATGGAATGATAGTAATCCATAATTAATAGTTCTGTTATTTAAATTATAAATTTCACTCTACAACTATAATAAACAACTGATTTCCCATCTAGTTCAGAAAAAAAGTCTATTACTTCGACTTGTTCGATCTTATGACGATTCGAAATACTGCATTGTTACGGAGAGTTCGAAAATCTTAGTCTTCCTTAACACATTCGCGGCGATTTAAACATCGTTTTTTTTATAAACTGTGAAAGATTCTATTTCTTTATTGAAAGCGATCATAATACTTCAAAACAGATGTCATCAACGTTTTTCCTATGAATATGGGCTACGAACGTTCCTTTTTCAGTGATAAAAGAATCAGCCTCTTTGGTCAAAATATAGTAGAGATATTCAATTTACTTTTGCAGTAAAGAAACTTCGGGACCACTCAACAGTTTGACCTATTGATGAGTCGCATCTGCTCGAATGTGTTAAACTATTTATTCGTTTCAGTTTTGTTTTATTGTTCAATATAATGATTTTCTAATAATTATGTTATATTTATCAATTATTGCTAACAACTTTTTCGAACGAAAGAAAATACACGAAGGACAAATAAACTTTGATTATTTCTGTTCTTTTTGAAATCAAAGTACACACAGCGCGTGCTTGATGCCTATTACGTATATATATTTTTAAAAAAAGTTGGCGAAAAAAATAATTGTACACCATTGGTATTGACGCTTTTAATGTTCTTTATTTTCATCTTCTGCAGTTCACTTTTTGTTGTGTCTGTAGCCATAACTTCATTTTAAATACGATACAGTATGTATGCATAGTAACGAGAGAAAAAAAAGGAATAGAAATTCAGCGAAAGTATACTCATTTACTGTACGTTTTGTTATTGAAAGAAGAGTCGAAAGAAAAAGTAAGAGAAAGTAATAACGTATTCAAATTTTGGATCAGAAAACACACAATCATCAGCCCTACCAATTGCTTCTTCCACATCTGCATCACTATCTAATTCTGCTACGAATATAAAACTAACAAGATTTTCCAGTATAATGTCTCAACCATCTGGTCCAAATACATCTTATACGGGGGGACAACCATCTGGTCCAAACATATCTTATGCTGGGGGACAACCATCTGGTCAAAACATACCTTACGTGGGAGGACAACCATCTGGTCAAAACACACCTTATGCGGGAGGACAACCATCTAAAGCACCATATCCGAATGCTCCTCCACCATCATCATCTCATACAAGTCCTTTTCCAGTAAATTTTCAGCCACCAAATACAAGTAATTATTCATCACATTCACTTCCAAACATAGGACAACAACCGCCAGCATTTCAAGGTCAGATTTAATCATTGTTTTAAATCAAATTAATCTCATCATAAATCAATCATGACAATATATATTTTAGGAGATAGTGGTTTTTATCAAACTTCATATCCACAAGCATATCCTGGTAATCAACAACCGCCACCACCAACAGCAACATCGGGTTAGTCGAAATTTGAAGCCTATTAAAACATTAAATTTTATTGTTAAGAAAACTAACAATGGAAAGTTTAGTACTTTTAGTAAAGAATATTAGACATGTATGGGTCATATAAAAGCTCTCGCTACCAAACTAATCGATTTAAAATATGAGCTGCTCGTGATATGCACCCTGCGAAATCATGGATTTTTTTAGGTATGTACAGTATATGTAAGATACCCACAAGTCAAAATTTTAATACTAGTATTTATTTTTCTTTTTTTGCCATTGTTGAATAGAGCTCGTCTAGTTGCATAAGAAAAAGTGTGTTTCAAACTTAAAAACAAATTTTAAGATATTTTATAAAATTCAAAAAAGCTTTGGTCTATTTTATTGATATTTGAATATAATGGTGCTTTGGGCTTAATTCTTTTTTAAAGTTTGAAACAGAGAACGTCACAGAACGCAGGACCTGCAGGACACCCAGGCACAGATGTGTAGGACTTCCGTATTCTAACCAGAGGGATAGGTTAGAGTACCGGAAAGCATGTTCCAGAATAGTGTAGGATTAGGGTTAGAGAATGTTTCTCAGTTAAGTTACAGAGTGAGAACACAGTTTACCCTGTACATATCTTCTTTGATACTATTTTGTTACTTATCACTTTAAGATTATATAAAGGAGAGTTAAATAAAAATTCGTAGAATAAAATAAGGGTAGGATTTTTTTTCTCAGTCAGAGTACAGAGTACGAAAAATAGCTTATCTTACACATCTGTGCATCTAATTCACCTGACTGATCGTGATCCAATGATGTTCCAATCTATTAGTGAAACTCGTCATGATTGTTTCATTATTATCAATAGTAGTCAGAAGAGTACATGTCTTAACTGCGAACATTGCTTCGTTGAGAAGATTATTTAGCTCATCTGGATTGACATTTACTCCAGTATGAATATGCTTATTACTAAATCAAATCAATAATATTATTAATTAGTTCATGCAACAAACAGTATAAAGAAACATTATCGTTTCTCATTTTCATCTGTTATTATTCATTATATCGTTATTCTTTCGTTCATCTGACGGATGTCAAATTTTTCTGTTCACTTTTTTCTAGTGAAACACTTGTGATAAAGCTTATTAACAAGATTATTTTAAATGATTTTTAGATAATTAGTGCTTTTATAATATTTGACATTGTACTTCATATTTATAAAAGCTTTTATCCTTTTCAAAAATTCAATAAAAATAACTTCCTGTATGCAAGATGCAGGACGAAAAAAACCATACCACGATGTTCTTTGGTTTGAAATACACTCCTTTCTTAGACAACTCGAGGAGCTCTATCCAACTATCACATAAAAAGAAAAGCAAATAGTATTAAAATGTTGACTTGTGAGTATCTTGCATATACTGTAAATACCTTAAAATCTATTATCTCACTTGGTGCACACTATGAGCAGCTCATATTTTAAATTTGTTAGTTTGGTACTGAGAGCTTTAATTTGACTCAAATATGTCTCATATTCTTTTCTAATAGTACGAAACCTTCTATTCTTAGAAAATAAATGAATATTATATGTTCTAGCAAATACTGCAAATTATCAAAACTCATATCCACCATCAAACTCATATCAAGAATCGAATCCTTACCAATCATCAAATCCCTATCAACAATCAAATCCATATCAACCTCAACAAGGTAAACAGTCGTTTTGTTTCTTTGAAATAATCTATTTCGAATAATTGTTAGGTGGTCATCCACGAAATAATCAACAACAACAACAACCTTTTCAAAATCCTAATGCATCATCATACCCTCAACAATCTCAAGGTAATATGACATTATTTTAAAATAGTGAAAGCTGTCTAAATAAATTATGTCTTGAATTTTGAATAGGTGGATATCCTCAAAATGATCCACAACGACCATATCAACAATTTGGTCTGTAGTTTGTAATCATTTGATTTAATAGGTTTTTTCATCTCATAGGTGGTGGCAACAATATAAATTTTCATAATAATCGTCTTCGAGCAATAGCTGAAAAATATGAAATAAATGATGCATTATTACAACGTCTAAATATACTTCAACAATTTGACATCGTTGTACTTTGTGATGATTCTAGTTCAATGAAGACACCTGTTGATGGAACAACTGGTACTCGTTGGGATGAATTACGAGCTATCGTACAAATTATTATTGATATTGGTACCATATTTGATTCGAATGGCGTTGATGTTCATTTTCTTAATCGATCTCCTATGCTCAATGTTACTGATCCTCGACAAGTTGTCGAATCATTTAGTCAACATCCTCAAGGATTAACACCTCTTACTCCTGCTCTACGACGAATTTTTCAATCAGGAGCACGTCAATCTAGTAATAACAAACGTTCGTTAGTGTTTGTAGCCACAGATGGAGCACCAACCGACAATCATGGTAATGTTGATATACAAAGTTTAGAAAATTTAATGCGACATGAACGTCAATCAAATACTATGTATGTAACATTTCTTGCTTGTACAGATGATAGAGCATGTGTAAATTATTTATGTCAATGGGATCGTACAATGATAAATGTTGATGTTATTGATGATTATAAATCAGAACGAGAAGAAGTACGTCGAACTAAAGGATTCAATTATCCATTTTCATTTGGTGATTACGTTGTTAAAGCATTAATTGGTGCTGTTGATCGACAGATGGATGCTCTTGATGAATATCCAAATAGTGATAAACATTGGTAGATTTTTATTAATAATTAACGTCTTTGTTAAATTTCTTTCTAATTTCGAATTAACTTAATCTGACATTTATTCAAGAAATATAAATTGATATTACAATCTTTGTCTATCTCGCTTCTATTCATGTATTATTTTTACTAAGAAATAATTAATCTTAATAATAGATGCAACTAAAAGTTATATTACAATGCGGGCCAAAATGTAATAAACGCGAATGTTCTTTAAATAACTTTTGATAGGAACAACATAGAGACTTCGAATTTCCACCGTTCCAGAGAGAATATCTGCGGTCATCAAAGTGTATCAAAATCTGATTTCGAGGGTATTCCTAACGCCCTCAATATCAGAAATTTGATCTTGGAAAGTGGGTGAGGGTGTGAGTGTAGGTATAGGTGTGAGTGCTTTGTTTCGTTCGCATCCACACCCAACTCTGTGAGAAATAGTCTCTTTTCTTTATCAACTGGGAAATTTGGTTTGCTTTTTGCTTTGTCTTTACGTTTTTTACCTGTTAAAGGCAATCAACTTTTTCTATTTTTCTTTCATCACTTTAGTGTAAAGGAAAGAAAGAGTTATTGCAGTATACATCAACATTTTTTTTACATCTTTGATTACCAATTCTTGCACTCCTGATCGTCATAAAGTAAACACGAAATTCGATTGTTTCATATTTGTTCTATAACGTTTTTTTTTCTGTCAGTGAAGTTGGAAGGTAATGGTTTTTTTCCATTGGGTATTACCTAGATGAAGAAAGATCAGCAGACAGATGATGTTACTGGGAATTTTCCAACGCAGACTCCAGAATAAATAATGTTCTCTTTCGTCTTCAACATTCATTCGAAATATTTTCTTGTTGTCAGTTTTGATTCATAACCTTCAATTCAATAACAACAGCATCTTTTTGTGACAAGGTAAGCGAGAATAGAACATTGAACGATGAAACTCCTGAAAAAATTTACTTCCCATAGAAAATCCACAAGAAATTGAAGTGATCGATGTCTAAAAATCTTTTACAGCCATAATCTATTCTAATTTCTTGAGTCCTTTTAATTCCTTTAAAGTATTCTAGTGGAAAAAGTTTAAAGAAAGCCTACCGATGATTCGAAAAATCCTTCTCTATGTCGATATATAGTAGGTAATGAACCATAGATCCAAATTCCAAATAGAATTTTTTGGTTTCATTAAGAACTGACTGTCTAATAATATTAAACTAGAGGCTCCTGTGAATTATTTATAAATATATAAATAATTAATCACTTATTAATTCTTAAACCACTCATTACATAGTCACTTTTCAATCAATTAACAATAAAATAGAGTTCTTGCAGTATTTTGCTTCGCTATGATTATTTATTATTTCTACTCTCAGAAAATGTAACAATACAAAACATAGTTCTATATTGTGCTGCTGCTACGGAAGTAGAAAAACAAAACAAAGTGTAACTCACCTATATAAATCACCTATAAGACTTACCCATATAAGTCACATATGAGTGAAGAGCACATCAATTGTACCGTTGAATCTTCCAAAGAAAAATACCTATAACTCAAGTTCTACTCAACCGATTTCAATAGTTTATTTTTGATTTACTGACTTAAAGGTGGTCATTCACTTCTGAAAAAATCAAGTTTCCATCTGCTTCAGTTTCCGAGAAATCATGACAACAGTGTCAAATACCAAGCTTTGAAAGCTATCTCTTGGCAGAAGATCAATTTTTTTTATCCTATTGCAATTTTTTTTTAAAATTAATTTGTTAGCTAGAACTGTAGAGTTCGTCAAATGATTTCAAAATATATTATTACTTTTTGCTTTAGACAATGTTATTTCTTTTATTCTATATACCTGTCACTCAAATAGGATGAATTCGTAGCCTAAACTGTTCTTTATAAAATGAGACTTTGTTGAGCTCAAATAGTGAAGCTATTGATGCGATAATGTTAAAATACTAACCACATCCTCAAAATAGATCTCGAAAGGTTGTATCAAATCGCGTTTTTCATAGGCAAAGCCAAATGATCTAATATTTTGGATTTGATTATGGTTGGACTACATATTTCATTTGAGATAATAAAATTGAATTTTTTTTCTCTTCGACGACCTTCTAATATAGTAGGAGATCCTCCGGTGGACTCTTTTGAGTGATTGAGAAATGAAATGCAAAACATAGCCATTTAACATGCCTCACCTGTTATTTTTCTCTTTCACGATCAAGACTTGATATCAGTTATTTACTACGAGCACATGTCGTGTGGTAGAAAAGTAAAGCTCGCAAATGGTTGCATCTATGCTCATTTCGCATTGCGAATGCAGAATGGAGAAAGAATATATGTAATCAGTTATTCATCAGTAGCGCCATCACTCTTTTCCCTGGTTTCTTATTCTGCCATTACCCTACTTCCTTTTCTCACGAAGCGATCTTGGCATATGGGAATGAAATCCAATAATGGAGAAAGTATCGTGCACCGATTATTCATTAAAAATTTGCTTATAACAATTTGACTATTATCATTATCCGCCATCGACAGAGAGGTGAGATTTAGTCTGATTATTTGCCATGAAAAATCTAAAGAAAACACATAGGAGCAAGTCTGAATAATATGATCTCGTACCTCCTCGATAAAAATATGGCATTATTCGAAAGAGCGCAAAAAAATTGAGCATTATAGAAAAATATGAATAATACGTATGACAAAGTTTCCAGCAGAAATTGTCAAAATACGATTCACAACAAGAGATTGCCACCCAGGTCGAGAGATTGGATGATAAGATTAATCATTGATTCTTCTACGATCATATCTGATCTTACTCCAATATCATATGTGATCATACAAAAAATCATCGTCTCTGAAATCTTATATCAATACTGGCAAAAAGATCTATATATGATCCACCAATACGATCTTGCATGATCATATGAGATCACACTATTGAATTTCACCATTTTTTCTTACCTTGTGAAAATAATTCACCATTCCTTAGAGCTCTGTTCATTAATAGTGCTTAAATCTATACCCTTATGAGTATATCACTCTACTAATACGCTAATAGGTATATCCCTCTAGCAATACCCTTATCGGTGTATCACTCTACCTATACCCTTAAGAGTATAATACTATATGTATTCGCATATTGATGTACCGCTTTACTTGTAGGTATACGAGTATATTACTTTGCCCATACTCCTATGAGTATGCTGTTATGTTGATATTCTATGGTTACATTAGCATCCTTACCGATCGTCGGGTGTCCTGAATCGCCATACTACATTCCTCTAGCTATACCTTTCACCTATTGTTATGCGTGGATTTAGTAAAGCTATCTCTCTACACTCTTTCACGTATATTTTTATTCCTATACTAAAATGTCTATATCTTCCTAACTATATCCATATAGCTATAGCCTTCGAGTAGTCTATTCTTTACTTCTACTCAAGTTGTTTCACTTATAAACTCAGCTTCATGCTTTAATTGATAATTGTTTATGCTTGTTTAAGTACAAGTAAGCTCAGCTCATTTTGCCCTTTGACCACAGTAGTATTCTTTCGAAGTATGACTTTATTTTCATGAGTCTTCCGGAAAATTTGTTCAACATGTGATATTAAATATCTATATCTAAACCGATGGACACTTAATCGATAAAACTTTCTTTTGCTTCGGTATTGTGTATTCGTGTGTGACGAGCTACAAATATGTCTGTTGTTTAATAAAAACAATTCGTGTCAGAAACTTTTGATTCTAGAGTGAAGCGATCAAAATCGATAGACGTGTGTTTTCAGACAAATTGTCTCGTCGAATCTTATATGATTATGTAAGATTCATATTATCAGAGCTTATATGTTTTTGTGATGATAGAACTTGTATGATCATACATGATCAGATTGATATCGTAATAGCTATTCTTGTACGTTGCTTATGATATGATTCTTGTAAGATTTCTACTGGCATCTTATATTCAGAATCCAACAAAGTCTTTCAAAAAATGAGTCTATATGATATTGTCGAATCTTATGTTAGGATCGTATAGAAAATCTTGTATGTATAAGACTTGATAAGACCTTGTACAATCTGATGTCTGCTTTTTCGACTTGGGCACTCTCTCTTTCTCTTGCGCTCAGTCCTCTTCATAGGTCAAACAATCAAATAGTAAGATCAGATAAAAATCGTCGTCCCTGGAGTCTTAATTTACTTCGTATTACAAGATTTTTGCAAGATCTTGCTGTCTTGTAAGTTATCACAGTAAGATTATAGAAAATTGTATGTGGTGATAAGATCTCGAAAGCATTCTTATACTACGACTTACTGTAAGATTTCAGAGGCGAGGATTGTTTGTACGATTTCATCTGATCTTACAAGACTTTATGTCTGATTTTTGTTTTCACTTACGTTTTTTCTTTTCTTCTTCTCCTTCTACATAGGCGTCATGCACGCATGTGTCGTGTAGATGGTGGAAACAGAAAGAGAAAGACAACGAACATATTATGTTACTGATAAGAATCATGCGGCACTCAATGTTAGTCTAATCATCTGTACTCTTTCAATAACTATTTAGATTCTCTTGAGTTGATCGAGAAGATGTCCCTTTTGGTTTTCTTATTTCCTCTCACTTGAAATCAATACCTTCGCATGGTTCTTGCCAGCACCGTAATTTGCTCGTTGTTTTTCTTTTTCCTCCCTATGATCCACTTGACATACGCCTATATAAAGAAAAAAAAAGGAGAAAAGAAAAAAGAGAACTGCGCGCAGAAGAGAGAGAGAGAGCGATAATCTCTTGTTGGAAATCGTATTTTAACTGATATCACTTTTTTTATCGAACAACCACGAGATTATATTTTTCGGACTAGTTCATATGAATCTGTTGGTAGTACACGAGAACAGGCATAGTGAGTACAACCGAAATGTCGATACGGTATGAAATCTTAACAAAATGGTATGCAACAGACCGTGTTTTTTCTCATGTATTATCAGTGTTTGCTCACCATCGAAAGTAAAGAACGAGAAAAAATACA